AAAATTAATTAATTATGCAAATTAGGTAATTAATATGTACTCGTATTACCTTAAAAACTATCAGGTCTGTGCAGTGTCCTATGACATCTATGTACCAAGTGTCATTGAAATGTGATGATTACTACTTGAAATATCAAAAGCTGAAAATTAATTAATTATGCAAATTAGCTAATTAATATTGCACAGATTTTTACCCAAAACTAATCAAATCTGTGCATTAGTTTGGAGCATCTGTGTGCCAAGTTTCATCAAAATCCAATGAGTGGTTCTTTAGATATCAGTGGAACAGTCATGAAACAGCCAAAAATCAGCTAATTATCATGCAAATTAGGTAATTAATATGCATGGATTTTTACCAAAACCTAATCAAATCTGCGCATTGGTCCAGAGCATCTATGCACCAAGTTTCATCAAAAACTGATGTATGGTTCTTGAGATATCAGTGGAACAGACGGACACACATACACACACACACACACACACACACACACACACACACACACACACACAGACTCACTAACTGCAAAGACTCCCTTTTTGTGCTTCGCACACGGGAGTCAAAAAGAAGATCAAAGCTCCTATGTGAATATATGCAATTGTTTTGTGGAAAAAAAAAATATCCAGGAAACAAAAAATGTTGAACAACCAGCACATGTTCAGCACCAATATACAACAAATTTGATCAAAATCTGCTCAAAAGTTTTTTGAGATTTTGCTTACACAAACAGACACACCAAACTCAATATCCCCCCCCCCCTTGTGTGCTTCGATACTTGCATTTTTAGAAACAAACTGAGCACCAGATGAACAAGTTTGAATTTTACTGAATTTCTTGAACACATGATTTGTTTTCCAACTTTGCATACAGATCAAGTTTCTGTCTTATTTTAATTGCAAGTTCAATGCATTTTTTGAGATGCATGTTATTTTTTTGCCCCAACAGAGGGCCTCATTCAGACTATATGATGAATGATATGCATTAGACTTTGCTAAAGTTAGTACAACTGAACATAGTAAAATCATGTTTCTGTGCCCTGAGAATGGCAATCATGTATGGAACCAAACAAATGGAAAAGACTGACAGATACAAATCTAACTTCTAAGCACAGACAAATTGCGCATATTCATAATAATAAAGGGTGCTGTCAGAAACATACCCACTGCATGTGCCTCCTTCTTTACTTTATGAGCAGCTCTGTAGTTTGCATTGGTACAGT